TCCTCCCAGACTCTGCTGTGTTGAGCACTCAGGTCCTCACCTGTCTGCAGCTGTGTTTCCCAGTGACACACAGGACTGTGTGTGGGAAACTCGGGGACCCTCCCACAGCTCCCTCCCTGGCAGAGGGCACAGGGTCCCATGTCAAAGGGGCATTGGCATCAGGGGACTGGACAGAGTTCATTTCAGGCTGGGTCTCTAACAGTTTATGTCAGGGTTGTTTTCTCACAGGGTCAAAACCGTTGAGTTTCTGTAAGTGTCAGTGTTGGGAGAGAAGCCTTTTAAGTTTATAAAACTGTAAAACTTTACATTTTCAGGAAAGCACTTTCTACCTGCTGTCCCAGACAAATACATGGGCTGTCCCCCTGGTGGTGCTGAGGGTGCAGTGAAGTGAGTTCAGGTACAAAATGCTGGAGGCCTCGTCCTTGGAGGGGACAGTGCAGCCCTGAGGTGACACATGTGCACAGACAGACCCCTGAGTCACTCCTCAGAGTTTGGTCTGAGAGACAGTGGAGAGGGGACCAGGGTCTGGTGTCTGAGACATGCCCCCCACTGTCCCCAGCTGAGGGGACCACAGCAGCTCCTCTCTGCCCTTCCCACTGCAGGCCATCCACTCCTCACACTCACACCTCAGGGACCCATGGGGCCCACTGGCCCCTCCTGCAGGGCAGCCTGTGCTGTGGGTACCTGACCACCTGGGAGGTCACCTGTGAGTGCCATCCGGGGGGATTTCACCTTCAAACCATGACCTGTACCTGTGAGGTAGGGAAATATATTCCTTTCTTAAAATGCAACTCATCCTGCTTCAAGAAAATATTTCTTAGTCTTCCCTCTAGATCAGTGCACAAAGTATAACATTATGACTTGAATGAGTTTTATGGAAACCAGCTCCCCAGTGAGAGGGAGATTATTTATTAAAAAATACAAAAGGAACATTGTCATCCTTCCACTAACTAATAATAAATGTGTTCAATAACCCTGATTTGTCTTTAAAGCTGCAGTTGTATTCGATATTGTGTATTTGAGAATGGAACTAATGTGGACGCACATGTAAATATTCCCTCCATGGCCTGTTCTCAACCTTCTTGGGCTGGTGGAAAGTGGAGCAGCTTTTCCTGCCTGATGAGGCCTCTGTGTCATGGGGCCCTCCATCGCCCCCTGGTGTCTGTCATGTGTACTGCATGGACAGTTACCCAAGGACACTTCATCCCTGTAACCTGCTTGGTCCAATGTGGTGGCAACAGGTCATCACAGCTGTTGAGCATGAAATGAGAGTTGTCCCCGAAGAGATGTGCTGCTGTTCTGAAATACACAGCAACTTTCCCAGTTTAAAAACAATGTAAAATATATCAATAATTTTATATTTGATTCACATTGAAATGTTTTCTTTTTTCTTTGAAAATTTCATTATTGTTATTCCGTTACAGTTATCCAAATTGTTTCCCCCTTTGCCCTCCTCCATCCAGCCAACTCACCACTCCCACAGTCAGTCCCCACACTGTTGTCCATGTCCATGGGTTATTTATACTTTTTCTTTGTCTAGTCTCAGCCCCTTCTTTCCACCATTGTCCCCTCCCCCTCACCTCTGGTCCCTGTCAGTGTGTTCCACGTTTCTGTGCCTGTGGTTCTATTTTCTCATTGGTTCTTTTTGATCCTTAGGTTCGTCTTATTGGTGAGATCATACGGTATTTCTATTTCACTGACTGGCTTATTTCACTTAGCGTCATATTCTCCAGTTCCATCCATGATGTCTCAAAAGGTAGGAGTTCCTTCTCTCTTTCTGTTGCACAGTATTCCATTATGTAAAAGTACCAGAATATTTTGATTCACTTGTTTACTGATGGGCACTTGGTCTGTTTTCAGCCCTTGACTATTGTAGATAGCACTGCTATGAACTTTGGGGTCCATAAATTCTTTTGAATTGGTATTTCAGGATTCTTAGGGTATAATTCCAGCAGTGAATTGATGGGTCAAAAGGCAGTTCCATTTTTAGTTCTTTTAAGGAAATTCTACACTATTTTTTTTACAATGGATGCACCAGTGTGCATTCTTACCAACAGTGCACGAGGCTTCCCTTCTCTCCACAACCTTGCCAGCACTTGTTGTTTGTTGATTTGTCTATGATCGTCACTCTGATGGGTGTGAAGTGGTATCTCATTGTAGTTTTAATTTGCATCTCTCTTATGGCTAGTGACGTTGAGCATCTTTTCCTATGTCTTGAGTCATCTGTGTCCTCCTTGGAGAAGTATCTATTTAGGCCTTTTGTATACTTCTAAATTGTATTGTTTTCCTGACTCATGTTGAGTTGTATGAGTTACTCATATATCTTGGATATCAGACCCTTGACCGATGTGTCATTGGCAAATATGTTCTCCCATTTGGTTGCTTCCATTTTCACTTTAACCATGGTTTCTTTAGCTGTGCAGAAGCTTTTTAATTTGATGTAGCTTCAAACAAATTAAATTAGGCATAAATCAATAAACTGGTAAAAATTTTATGCTGAAAACTATTATCTGTTTATGAAACTGATAAAAGATCTAAATGGATAGAAAAGCACAGTGTTTACAGATTAGAAGACTCAATATAGAAAAAATGTTAATTCTCTTCAGAACTGGCATAAAGATTTAACAAAGTGCAAATTAAAATCCCTGCATATTCTCTGCAGATATAAACATAAGTATTTTAAAACTCACATGGAAAGACATAGGAACTAGATTATCCAAAGTAAAGAATAAATTTAAGTAAACATATTTATTTTCTATAGTCTTAAGATTAGTCAAGAAAGGGTGGAATTAGCAAATAGACATGTTGAGCAATAGAAAAGAATGGAGAATTTAGAAACATACCCACAACAATATAATGAAATCTTTTTTGATTGTTGTTCAAGTACAGTTACCTCCATTCCTTCCACCACTCTCCATACCCCATCATCTAATTGAATTAAACAAAATATATTCTGAAAACCAATCCCAACGGTTTCATCTCATCTTTTAAATGTGGACCCTGGGACATTTACAGTTGTCCCTGTGGTTCCGATGGGACAGGGCTGGGTGCGCTTTGCAGTCCCCATACCAGTCAGTGGCTTTACAGAAAGGAGAAGATCTCTCTGGCATTTAAAGGAAAAGCCGATCTTAGTTTTAGAGCCAGTGAGAGGCCACGGGACGGAGGTGAGGACCAGCGGCTCTGGGGCTGTAACCCTGGTTTGCTACAGGTCCGCCTCTTTGTGGTCCCAGCCTTAGACAAGGCTGCTGCCTACCTCAGCTTCCCCGTCTGTGAGGAGAGGAGGTGACGAGAAGTTTCTTCATTGTGTATTTGAGACTAAACTATTTAGTAAATTTAAAGTGCTGTGCATGTGCTGACGTGTTTTAAACACAGATGATGCTACTCCTCCTGTTCTCATTAATGTCCTTCATCCTTGTCCTTAATGGGAAGCAAGGACAACAGAACGGTGGACAGAGGAAATCCCAGAAACAGAGAGTCCGGGACATCTGTCATTGTGGGACTCCTTGGCTGCACCGAAGTGCACACACGTGTGCACACAGAAGTGCGCAGGCCCACATACCTCCTGACCTTTGCACAGGTCACAGAGGCACATCAGCCGGCTGTGGCTCGCCCCCTGGGTCTCTGGTCTTGGGGAGGTGACCCTGGTCCTCAGCAGAGACCACACTGGACAGCCCATCAGGACTGCCCCACACACGGCTTCAGACAGTGGAGATCTGTGGTGTGGGTCATCTCACCCACTTTCCCCACTACGGCTGGCCCCGCCTGTGACTCCTCATCCTGGGAGGGGACCTGGTTTAGCAGAGACTCCAGCCTGACCTGCACGGCGTTGACCTCAGTGTGTGTCCTCTGACCTGTCCACCAAAGGCAGCATGAAGGTCTGGGTGGCAGGTGATGACCTGAAAGAACAGGTCTCCTGCGGTTGACAGGTGGTGCCTTTCTGTGTGACTGTCACTGAGCTGTGAGTGGCAGGTGGACAGCAGTGAACCCCTCCCAGTGTGGTCCTAGGAGGACACTGGTCAGACAGGCATGTTCCTGGGCCAACCCTGATGCACTGCAGCTGCATCTGCATCTTAGTCCATCCCAAAGCCCTGTGTGCCCTGGTCTGAGTCTCCATGGAGACTCTCACTTTTTTTTTCTGTCCCCAGCTCCTTCTTAGGACATCAGGGTCTTGGCGCTGAACTGTCCTGCCCTCGTCAGACTGAGCTTCATTCAGGTGCTGGATCCCGTGATGTCGTGGAGGAAACTGTTTTACAAACAGACACATGGGGGGAGTTTGGAGAGAAGGTGGGATCCCTTTCTAACCTTGGTCTGTGTTACTTTCTGCTTCATTATGAACAGATTTTGTTGCTCTGATACCAGGTGCTGAGTGGTTTTTTTTGGTAGCATCTCATTGCTGTCAATCTCATCCCATATATTTTCAATCCCCAATATTATAGCGCCTATATCTAGGTTTCCAATTAGGATTTTTGGCCTTTGTGTCTTCCTCTGCTGAGTCAAATCATTTGTCCACCTTATGATTGAAGGAAATAAGTTACAGTCATCTTTTCTGTGTCCTAGTCCACAAATTATATCATCTGGACGATGTCAGGGCTATTCAGAAAAAAAGTGGATTTCATATTCATACTAGTCCTCTTTTCCTGATTCCTTGCAGGAAAATTTGACAGGGTATCAGGCAACATGACTGATTTCTGTTAGATCTGAAACATATGTGTCTCCTCCTGTGTCAAGGATTCCCACTTGGGGTTCAGTGACTTTCCTGGTCCCAGGTCTGTCCTGTTTCCATGGCCCTGCAAACACCAGGTCAGGTCCTACCTGTGAGACAGAATCCACTGCTGCCCCACCCTCTGCACAACTGCCTGAGATCTGAGGTCTGGGACCTGAGGCAGAAGTGCTCATGGCTTTGTCTCTGGTCCTGTTTGGGCTAGAGGAGAGTGTGACACAGATGGGGAAGGTGGTTTTTGTCTCACTTCCCCCTTGGCCTGTGTCACCGTGAGTGGTACCACTGCTGTCCCATGTGTTACAGTAATAGTCAGCCTCGTCCTCAGACTGGAGGTTGGAGATGGTCAAGTAGCGGTCGGCCCCAGAGCTGGAGCCTGAGAAGCGGTCTGGGATCCCGTCCCCCTTGCTCTGGCTTCCGTCACTCTTTAGCCACATCACATAGCGAGGGGCCTTCCCTGCCTGCTGCTGATACCAGCGAATGTTGTAGCCACTGTGCTCACTGCTGAGGGTGCAGGTGAGCTTGGCCGAGGCTCCCAGGGAGGCAGAAGCAGATGGGGGCTGGGTCAGCACAGGTGCAGCACAGAGACCTGCAAACACAAAACACAGGGGTGATGTCAAATGCACCCAGACTGAATAGATGACCTTGGAGCTGTTCTTGGAGAAAACCTGGACCCCTGAGTGCCCAGGGATGCTCTGACCTGTGGAGAAAACCAGGGGCAGGAGGTAGAAGGGAGCCCAGTCCATGGTGGGAGGTGCTTCCAGGACCTCTGCCCTGTGGCTGCCCAGCTGGCACTGGCCTGTCCAAGCCCCTGTCTTATCCTCTCTCCTAGCAGCTCAGGAGGGAGGAGCATAAATGCAAATGTGTTCTCTACTCTTCAACTTGTCTGTCTTAGCTGGAGTCTGATCCCTGAGCCTAACAGCCTCCTGCTGGTAATTTCCAGATGTCAGAAGAAGGTCCAGGCATTGGTTTCATTATTAAGAATTGATTTTACCCAATAGACATGTTTTCAAAGGAGCCTCATGGTGCCCTTGGCAATTGAGCCCAGCCAAGGGCACTTGACCTATAAAGTTCCCCACAGCAGGACCCACAGTGCCCCCTGGTGTCCACAGGATGAATACCATCCCAGCTGTGCAGCTAATGCATCAGATGGCTACTTCTAAGAACTTAATGGATAGCGAAACTTGGTGTTTTATATGCACCTCTCACCTGACATCGTAATAACTGGACATCAGAATAAGCCCACATCATCTGTGGGTGCTGTGGGTCTCCTGACAACTGGGGAGGTCGCTGTCAGTGCCATCCTGGGAGATTTCACCTTCAAACTGTGATCCGTGCTTGCAAGTTACACTAATATATCGCACTGTGGGGAAGAGAATGTAATTTAACTTCAGTAAAATATTCCTTATGGTCTCTCTTTCTTCTGAATGTCTGCAGAAAACATCGCATTATGACTTGTGTGAGGTTTATCGACATGAACTTCCTACTGAGAGAGATACTTGCAGCAATATTGTTTCAAAAATTCAAAAGAAGTATCACTAATACACAGACTTTTAATAAAATGTGTTCGTGGCTCAGATTTATCTTTAAAATTATAACTATCTTTAATATTGTGTGTAAGAATGCAAGTAGTGTGGACACACAGTATAATAATTTCCTTGTTTCTGTGGCCTCAGGATTCCTGGTCTGGGTGGAAAGGGCAGCAGCCATTGTTCCCTAATGAGGCTCTGGGTTCTGAGGCTCTGCATCGCCCCCTGGTGGCTGTGAGTCTGTCTGTGGTGAGCTGCACATGGTGAGCACCTACAGGGACAGTTACCCCAGACACCTCATCCACCTGATCCTGCTCTGTCCAATTTGGTACCAGAGACACACGCCACTGTTTAGCATGAAATATGGGCCGACCTGGTAGAGATGAGCTGTAGTTCTGAAAGATACAGCAGACTTCAAAGACTTAGTAAGAACATAGTGTAAAATATACCAAGTTTTTTTATGTTTTGTTCCTATTAAACTATTTTGAACTAATTGAAATTAATAAAATATTTTAAGGAAACTGATTCCACCTGTATAACCCTTTAAATTCAGACCCTGGAGAGTCTAGGTTCCTGATGGTTCACACTTCATTTCTGTGGGACGGGGCTGGGGGGCAGCACCATGTCATCCGACCCCTGCCTGTGAAAGAGGAGAGGGAACTTTCTGGCACCTGAGGAGGTGACAAGTCTCAGCTCTGAGAGCACAGTGAGAGACCATGGGACTGTGGTGAAGACCAGGGACTCTGGGCCCAGAACCTTGGTTTGCTACCAGGGTGTCCACTTTCTAGTTCGGACCTCAGACAAAACGTTCATTCATTTGTGCCTCAGTTTCTGCCTCTGTGAAATGGGGTGATGGTGAGAATGCTTCTCTAGCACAGGGGCTGATATTAAAGGGTTTGATAAAGATGAAGCATTTGGTGCTTTATACATATAAGCACATATGAGTGTTACTCAACCTTCTTCAGTAACATCCTTATTTTATTTTTGTGATAGCACAGAGACACTGGAGATAGAAAAATGATGAAAGTTAAGAAAACAAAAAATAATGATTTGGGATATTTGACATAGACTACATTTTCCTGCAACGCCAAATGCACACAGGGACACATGGGCCCCCACATGCCCTGCCCTTCCCAGAGGTCACAGAGCCACATACACTCAGTCCCTGTTCCTGTCCATTAGGCCTTAGTCCCAGGGACCTGATCCTCCTCCTCCTCCAGCCACATCTCAGGGTGTCCCAGCACAGCCAGAGCAGAACTAGTCCACGTTGGTGGAAATCTGTGACATGTGTCATATCACCCTCGTTGTCTAACTAGACTCGGCCCCAAGTGCAACTTCAGGTTCTGGGAGGGGAGCCTGGTCCTGCAGAAGCTGAAGCCTGACCCGCACATGTTGGCATCAGTGTGTCTGCTGACCCGTCCACCGAGGGCCGCATGGGTGGCAGGTGAGGGCTGAGGGGCTCAGAGCTAGGACTTATGTCACTGGGCAGAGGGAGCCGGGGCACCTCTCATGCTCCCTTGGGCACAAGGAGAGGCTCAACAGGGTCCTAGATTCACCAAGTCAACATGAGCTGAGCTGAGTCAGGAGAACTGAGATCTTAGTTGGAGGAGAAGCAGATCAGGTGGTGTCCTGGGGTCTCCATCAGAACATCAGCAGCCTCTGAGTCCCTCACTGGAAATACGTGGTCCTGTCTCACTTCTACCAGACTGGGAAGCTGCGGAGACCACCTTGAGACAAGGAGGCCACCTTGTCTCGTGTGAGAGACTTACTCCCTTTGGCAATGTCAGAGAACAAGGATGAAGCCTGGCCGTCCTGCACAGAGATGGGCCACTCAGGGGAGGGTCAGGGACCCTCTGGGCTCCCAGTGATTCCTCCTCTGACCCCTGAGGGCTTGTGGTGCACCCCAGCCTCGGGCCTCCTAGGAGGTGGGTAGACCCCGTCATGGCAAGGACACTGTTGATGGTTGAATTGTGTGCCCCAAACTCATATGTCAATACCCTCATCTTCACTACCTCAGGTGGGAGCTGATGGAGTTAGGTATGTTGTGGATGTAATTCCTCACAGTGAGGTCACATTGGAGTGGGGTGACCCTGATTCATTGGACTGGTGTCCTTAGAAAAGGGGGAAATAGAGACAGATGCTCACAAGGGAGAATGTGATGTGAAAAGGGAGGCAAAGTTCATCAGCCAAGGTCAGCAGAGGTGCCAGTGACCCCCAGAAGCTAGGAGGGAGACAGGGGAGACTTTCCTTCACGGCCCACAAACCACCAACCCAGCTGACTAGTGATCTCTCACTGCCAACCTCACAACTGGGTGACAGTAAATCTCTATTGTCACCCCCCCTGGTGTGTGGTGTGTGTGGCCACTGCACCAGCATCTACTAGAGTCCCCCCTAAGGATGCTGCTCTCAGAGCATAAGCAGTGGCTGACTTCCTCCAGGTGCTTGTTGCCCCATCTGCTCATCACAGGACTGAGTCTAATGGAGACGAAGGGACGAACGAGACATGAGCTGTGCTGAGAGCTGCATACGGGGCCCTATGGAGTCCGACAAGATGGTTCAGCAAAAGCGTTTCTCTTAGTCTTTAGGGAGGCAAAATACAGGCACCTGTTCTATTTCTTTGCTGTGTTGGTCCTGTGTTGCTGGTCCCACCTGGTCAAAGCTCCACGGGAGGGAGTTTTGTCTGTTTCCTTCACTGCAGCAGCAGCAGCAGCAGCACAGTCACAGGGTCTGAGACCGTCAGAGACTCGGCCCTCACTTCACACTGTTCCTCACGTGAAAAGCTTCGTGTGTCTACAAGACATCAGATTACCACGCTTTATTCCAACTCGATTTCAGGTTTTCTGACAGACGGCTCAGTCTAATTAGTGACTTGGAGAAAAAGCAACGACTCAGCCTCAGTCAACCTGAGGAGGGGAAGCACATCACGGTGGTCCTCCAGGGCCCCCTTCGGCCTTTCCAGGGGCCCTGGGACTCTGCCTTTCTCTCCAGGTGACTAGTGAGATGTGCCAGGTGGCCTCTGCCAGGTTCATAGAGCACCTGGGCTCATGATCTTAAGAGTTTCTTCTCTCACAGGACAAATGCAAAATTCTACAATCAGATACAGGCACTTCAATGTCTTTCCTCAGACAGAGGAGTGAGACGGGGGAGGAGAAGGGGAAGGAGAGGGAGAGAGACTGAGTCAACAATTAAACACCTTCTTGCTAAAACAAGAACCACAGACACAGTGGCTTCCCTGGTGAATTCCATCAAACATGTAAGGAAGAGTCACACCAACTCCACGTGACTCCATCACAATAGTGACGCAGGGGGCGCACTTTCTCACTCGTTCTCTGAGATCAGCAGTGCTGTGATCCCCTGGACAAGTTCACATAAAAGGAAACTGCAGAGGAACACCCAGCAGTGAATCCACAAGCCTCAGGGACCTGTCAGGGGGAGGAACCTCAGGCAGGTGCTCTGTGCACCCCAGGGGCCCCTGCAGACGCCCTGGGCTCGCTGTCTCTCCACTTGTGTCTGCACCGTCGTCCTGTTCACCTGGCAAGGTCATGTGGGTCTCTGGTAGGATGCAGCCTTTAGCCTTTGCTGGAAAATTCAATCTCCCCATAACTCTCTTTGAATATATCTTCATAATTTCCTGTTACTGCCCTTGGTGGCATTAAATCTAAGTGATGTTTAAAAAGGGTTTTTTATATGAAGGGGCATGGTAGGGTCTAAGGACACACCCAACTCACCAAAGTCCACCTTCCAGTGCTGTCATATTGCTTCACACATGACATAGGGACACTCTCTCATGTTTTTTACCCTCTGAAAATTTTGCTAACATTATTCGTTATTTTGCTTTAATGGACATTATAAATCACAGCCTACTCTGTTACTGTTCTCTGTTTGGAACAACGTAATAAAATGTTTCTCTTTACCCACATAAGTAGTTATCTTATCTGATGCCTTTCATTTCTCTGCATGGATTCCTCTCTCTGTCTGGGTCACTTCCCTTCCATCGGAGGAGTGTCCTTCATTCCTCCCTGCATCAGGGTCTGCTAGTGGTCAGTTCTGTATATGCCTGTACGTGTGAGCAAGGCTGCTTCTGCTCCTTTCTCAGAGGCATTTCTCTGGGCAGAGTTGAAAGCCAAGAGCTTTTTTGTTGGTTTGTTGTCTGTGTTCTGAAGACGTTGCTCCTGGCTCCTCCTGGTTGGATTACACCCACTGAGAACCCTGCGCTTCCATTACGGACCTTCCTGTGTGTGGAACGTGACATTTG